CTGTTTGTCTATTATTATGTACTTGGCTTTTTTTTCTGGTAGATTTTTTTGATTATTGATTCGATCACTTTATTTGTTATGGGTCTATTTAGATTTTCTAGATCTTGAGTTGGGTTTAGTAGTCTGTGTCTTTCTGGGAATTTGCCTATCTCATCTAAATTATATAATTCATTGGTGTATAATTGTTCATAATATTGTCTTACAGTTTATTTCTGTAAGATTGGCAGTAATGTCTATTCTTTCAGCCCTGATTTTTAGTAACTTGATTCTCCTCTCTTCTTAGCTAGTTCATAATTTTGTGGTTGTTTTAAGAATGAGCTTTTGGTTTTGTTGACCTTTCTCCATTGGTTTTCAATTCTCCCATTAGTTTATTTCATGCCACTGCACTCCAGCACCACTGCACTCCAGCTTGGGTGACAGAGAGAGACTCTGTCTCAAAAAAAAAAAAAAAAGAAAAAAGAAAAAAAAGAAATTAAGTTTATCAAATTAGCCCTCATGACTGGAGATTCCCTTTGTTTAAAAGATGGAGGGAACACTTGTTCCTTCTCCATTGGGGGGATTTCCCTCTTATGCTTTGATCATTTACTTCTCAGAGAAGAGATGAGATACCATATGAAGAATGAAAAACCCACCTCATTCTTACACCGCTACCACCATTTCTCCAAGGGAAAAAGAGAGTAAAACTCAACAATGTAAAAATAATTCATTAGAGCTAATGAAATAAATCAAGACCCCTTGTCACTTATTAAATATTAACTTACGCTGGAAACAAATGTATTATAAGCATGAAAAGCACACAAAGCACCACACTTCTGCGGTTAAGAACATAGGCCCAAGATGGCCTCCTACTTGGGATTACCAGCTCTGTAATTGTGAGAACTAGTAAGGAGATTTAATCTCTCTAGGATCTTGTCTCCTCACCTGAAGAGATGGGGTACACTAAGAATACTCTCATAGAGTTGCTGTAGGTGATGACACGTGTGGATGTTCCTTACGTACGTGCTGCTTCCGCCGAGTGTGAAAAAATATCGCTTTTGCCCGGATGGCATTATAACAACCTGTGTGAATGCACTCTGCTCGAAGGGATGCCTGGTGCCTGGGGGATGGAGTTCGCAATTCTCTACCCACAGTTGATGTCACTGGGTCTTGCTGATTTGGATCTATTCTTTAAAAAGTGCATATTTGAGATATATTTTTCCAAGCATGCCCTTTTCTATTATTATTTATAGTCCTTCCCTGTTGTCTCTTGCTGTGATTTTCAGAAAGTCAGCAGGAAACAAAGTCCTAAACCACCTGCCTCTTCACAGTTCTGTTACAGTCCTTTCTTCCCTTACCAGAAGAGGATTTTGCATATGAAATATTTTGTTCCCCTTTTCTTAGAGTTCTCCGTCCATTTGTCCATCCGTCTCTCCACTTATCTGTTTATTCTTCTGTCTTGTTCCAAAAAACCTTTTGAGGCAGCTTACAGAATTAGAGAACAAACAATAAGCAGATGAAAAAACTGGACCAAGATTAGAAAACAAGGGTAAGAAGTGAGCTGCACGGGCAACGAGGCCAGTGTGAGAGGCACGTCTTTGGCTGTGTGAGGTTATACAGATGGGTGGCAAGCTCATCCCTGAGCCTCCCAGCGGCGCAAGGGAAACAGGATTTGGGGGAGATGCTCGCTCTCTGTAAGCTAAACAAGTGGTTTCACAGAAGCCCAGCTTTTCCTGCTATTGAGATTTAGGAGAATATTTTTTGAGTGTTCTGTTAAGTCAATGAATATTTTATCTGTATTTTTTTTTCTGCCAGAGTTCTCTGTGTAGTTGGTTATATTCTTTAAATGGAAGTTTCTCCAAAATGCTTGCCCATGTGGGTTTGGTGGCTAGGGAATCAGATGCTTCTGCTTATTGATAGGAGTTGGTCAGAAATAGAAAATGACAGAAATAGAAAGCATACTATCATTTATAATTTTCTTTTTTTTTAATATGCTGTATGGTTCAGAAAATGCTTTTGCGTAGTTGATCTCCTTTGAGGATGCCGGGTGGTGCCTTTCTAACATGAAGAGCTTCAAGCTGTGAGAGAATGCATGCTGACCTCACCGTTGCCTTCAAGACAATTGAGCTAGTTACTGCAAATATGTTACTTTTATGTAATGCATTTTATGTTCTTCAATAAAAAATTTCAAAAGGGAGGAAAACTTACTTTGAGTTAACTAACATTTAGTAGAATACTTTGATAGCAAGGCTATTATAGGAAGCATATAAGCCATGAAGACTAAACACATTATTTAAATTTCAGTAGGGCATATTTAAGTTTTATCTTATTCATGCTTCTCTTTAACAAAGAAATAATACTGAAAAAGCAAAAGATTATTTCTTTTCTTCCTCTCGGTTTGCAGGTGCCCTCACCACCAATGGCATCAATCCTGACACCAGTACTGAGATCGGACGTGCTAAGAACTGCCTTAGCCCTGAAGACATAATTGACAAGTATAAAGAGGCGATTTCCTATTACAGCAAGGTGATTTTATGGCTTTGTGAATTTTTTACACAGTTGTGTTGTTTTAATTAGAAGTTCCTATTTTGCATTGTGTAATGCTGCAATGTCTCTTAATTATTTATTTCTGTAAGTATTCATGTCTTATTCTCTAATGCATAATACTATATGCCTAAAATGTTTTCTTTTTCTGATTCAAAACAGTGTAGGTTTAGTATAATACATTTGGAAAAGGGAGAAAAAGGGCTACCATGGCCCCTGTACTCACAGATAATGATTGTTATTATTTTATATCTATTTTCGACGGGGTGCAGTGGCTCATGCCTGTAATCCCAGCACTTTGGGAGGCCGAGGTGGGCGGATCATGAGGTCAGGAGATTGAGACTATCCTGGCTAACGTGGTGAAACCTCGTCTCTACTAAAAATATGAAAAATTAGCCAGGCGTGGTGGCGGGCGCCTGTAGTCCCAGCTACTCGGGAGGCTAAGGCAGGAGAACGGCGGGAGGCGGAGCTTGCAGTGAGCTGAGATTGTGCCACTGCACTCCAGCCTGGGTGACAGAGCGAGACTCTGTCTCAAAAAAAAATTTGTATCTATTTTCTGGTTCTTTTATCAATGTTTATATTATAAGAAATGGAGCATGCTTTACTTATGTACTGTGTGGTGACCCATTTTTTTTTCATTTGGTATAGTCTGTGTTTTCTATGCTATTGAAATCTTCCATGGCATAATTTTCAGTGACCTGTAGAGCATTCTATCTTATGGAGGCACCCTTCTTTTTCGTTTGGATTGAAAACAATTTCGCATTCCAAATGTACTTACTAAAATACTGAAAAAGAAAAGTTGTGCTGAAGAGTGGCATCAAATAAAAAATGAAAGTCCTCTACCTTCTCTACTCTTACTAACAACTTGGTTTACTGGTTATCAACAACTTGGTCCATAGCCCCCTTACCTTTATGCCTGTGAGACACACACACACACGCACACGCACACACACATGCATGTACTCACGCATGCTCACACACACACACATACATGTACACACACATGCTCACACACGCACACACATGCACGTACACACACATGCTCACACACACGCACGTATACACACGCATGTACTCACGCATGCTCACACACACATACATGTACACACACATGCTCACACACGCACACACATGCACGTACACACACATGCTCACACACGCACACACATGCACGTACACACACATGCTCACACACACACACATATCCTATTTACAAAATGGGATCATACTATGTTATCCTGCAGCTTGCTTTACCCACTCAGCAGTATATCGTAGACCATAGGTGTACTCTCACCTCCAGACCTGCTTGCCTCTTTCAGAGCGTGTGGAAAAGTTTTCTAAAATCCTGCTTCCTTCTTTCAGAGAGTGTGGAAAGGTTTTCCAAAATGTGGATGTAGTCATGTATTCATCAAGACATTTTGTGAGACATGCTCATAAACAGCACCTACAAAGAGATGAAATGCCTGCTCTTACAGATTTCACAGCTTGTCTTAATTTGCTTAATTATTCTTTTGTGGATGGATACTTAGGGTTTCTCACTTTTTCACTGTGAATTAGAAAAAATGCTTTACCAAACATTTTTGCCCCTATATTCTTGTGTTCTTGTATCAGTATTCCTTTGGGTTCAATTTTTATAGAAATCTATCCTGGATATAATATAAACATTTATCATAGGTTATGTTCAAGTTACTCTCCAAATTCCTTTTCTAATAGGGAGTGAAAAGATGTAGAATTATTTATTTTGCCAATCCTGTTACTGATTGTTATTTATTTCTGTTTTTTCTTCCCCCTGTTGTAAACAGTTCTCTGACAAATGCCTCTATACATACATCTTTTTGGACTGCCTTTTTTTTAAGGGAACAATTCCTAGAAGTTGACTTGAGTTAAAGAATATATGTTTTTTTGGCCTGGCACAGTGACTCATGCCACCAGTAATTGCAGCGCTTTGGGAGGCTGATGTAGGCAGATTGCCTGAGCTCAGGAGTTCGGGCAACATGGTGAAACCCTGTCTCTACTAAAATATAAAAAATTAGCCAGATGTCGTGGTGTGCACCTGTAGTCCCAGCTACTTGGGTGGCTGAGGCTCAAGAATCACTTGAGCCCTGGAGGCAGAAGTTGCAGTGAACTGAGGTTGTGCCACTGTACTCCAGCTTAGGCTACAGAGTGAGATTCCGTCTCAAAAAAAAAAAAAGTATACTTTTCTTAAAGAGTTACATATTCCTGTATTGTCCTACAAAAAGGTTATTAACAATTTACTCCTCCATAAACAAATGCCAGCTATTATTTTTAATAAATATTTGCCAATACAGCTGAGTGCAGTGGCTCATGCCGTTAATTCCAGCACTTTGGAAGGCTGAGACAGGCGGCCTTGAGGTCAGGAGTTTGGTATTATGCTTAGAAATACCATTTTTTTTTTTTTTTGAGACAGTGTCTCGCTGTGTTGCCCAGGCTGGAGTGTAGTAGCATGATCTGGGCTCCCTGCAACCTCCACCTCCTGGA